CAGGGATGAGCTGTCCAGAAAGGGAAGAAGGGGGAGTCCCTTTATCAGAAGCATTACTGATCCTCAACTGATAACCTAGATTTACCCAGGCCATACCAGGCTGCCTGTCTCCCTTGTCCCTGCAGAAATGGGTCATGGTTTTAATTCCCAGGCACTGACTGACTTTAAAGGAACTTCTCGGGTCAGTGACCAACCTTCTGTGCTCCTTGCCTGACTCCTTGGTCATCTCAGTTCACAGGAGGTTTCTCAGCTCTATTTCTCTTATAAACAAAGAGGAGGGCACGTAGGTGAAAGGACCGAAAAGGGATTTCCCAGGACAATTTTGGTCTGCTCCCTGATGTGTGCACATGGGCCCCAAGCTCTGTTTTCCGTACAAGCCCTGGAATATGCTCACTAGGGCTCCCCATCTGGATAACAGATGGTTTGCCTACAGTGAAAAAGGCCAGAGAATGCCATCAGTCCTGGGGCTTCCCCGGTGATGCTAGTTTTCATGCCTTTGGCTCCAGCGTAGGTGGTTTTTAGCAATACCAACGCTACTAATGTCTGATCCCGGAGGTGACCCTGTGTTTTCAAAGGTTATGCCCGCAGGGCACACACTCTAACACATCCTACTAAGTCTGGAGGATTTCAGCTGTGCTCCTGGTCATAGATTGTCAATAGCTGCCCAAGGGCCAGCTGAGCTAAGTCAGTAGATGCCATGGCATAGGTGGTTTGGGGATTTTTTTTGTTTTGATTTTTGTCGAAGCAACTCATGAAGACCACTTACTGAGATGTGTGTATGTGGGATATTACTCACATAATAAAATCACAGATCCTGGGATAATCATTCTAATTTTAATAGTCCTTTAGGATTTACAAAATACTTTCCTCACAAAAATCTTGGAGGGTAGCTACAAATATTATCATCTCAATATTATAGATAAGGAAACTGAGGCAGAGAGTGATTAGAGTGATATACAGACCTGGATTCAAATCTCTGATCTCTTATTTCCTAGCTGTGAGACCAGAGGCAAGTTATGAATTCTTCATTTTACAGGAGGAAACATACCCAGAGAAAGAAAGGGATTTGTCTATGGTCACCCAAGGAGAATGGTGGCAGGATTGAAGTCGGGTTTCCTAACTCTCTCAGTCCAATATGTGGTTGGTTTTTTTTTTTGAGGCAGTCAGGGTTAAGTGACTTGCCCAGGATCACACAGCTACTAAGACTCTGAGGCCGGATTTTAACTCAGGTCCTCCTGACTGCAGTGCTGGTTGCTCTATCTACTGCACACCTAGCTGTACCTCCTTCCTCCAATATGCTTTCCTTCCACAACACTGACTCCAAAATTCTACCGTCCTCATCTCCCAGCTTTGTCTTTGTGATGTAGATTGATCAAATAGGAGGCTCTGACTCTTGGAAAACAGCTTCAGTACCTGCTATGGTCCTTCAAGTCTTTATTTCCTTCTCCAGCAAATCTTCCCCTTCTTGGCAATAAGTTCTAACAGCCTTTGGCCCCTGAAATAAATATCAAAACATTGCCAGAGTGAGGCCATTCTAATTTGCATGTCTGGGAATATTATCTTCTTATTTTTTTTTAATCATTGAGATCATAGGATTTTGAATTGCAAGGGACCAGTTCCATTGAGCTCCATGCAATTCAGCAGTGGATTTCTAGATATGTTTTATGTGTATCTCTTGTGCCAGTGAGTGAGATGAACAGATGGTGTGTGTGTATATATATATATATATATGTATATATATATGTATGTATGTATGTATGTATGTATATGTGTGTATATTTTAACATATATATTTATATTTTTTTGCTTTTACTCTTCTTTACCAACTTAATAGCCAAATGTTATCAAACAGAGAAAATCTCCTTTACATGAGTTTGAATCTATTTCACATCATGTTTTTTCATCTTGTGTTTTCTCCTTTATTCCTCTCATATTGAGGTTCAGTATTTTGATCAGTTGATCGATTTTCAATGGATGATCGAGTCTCAAGTCATGCTCTTCTCAGATTCTGAAAATTAAATCCAAATATAAGTGTTTGCAAATATCCGATCTCTTCTCAAATCCTCCTCCAGTGCTGTACAATCCCTGTAGAGGGGCCCATGGGTTCTCAGAGGCCCTGCCAATGGAATACAGGCCCCGACAAAGACAAGTTGGGAAGGCTCTAATTGTGTGCCCTACAGCAAACAGACCATGTGTCTGCCATCTTAGAACCCTCCAAGCTAAATCGACCACCAAGGAATGACTTTTTTTTGGCCACAGCAACTCATAAAAGGCTGTTTATTATGGAGCAGAGGGGTGTTGTTATCTGCATTGGTGGAAGGTTACACTGATAAAATTGAAGATCTTTGCAGTACTAAAATAAATGTCAGTTAATTCAAGGAATATTTTTAATCTATCAACAAGCACTTATTAAGTACCCTACTGTGTCTGGGAACTGGCGAGGTAAAAGAAATGCAACAGTTCCTGTCCACTAAGAGATAAATGTCACAGAACCAACCAACCAAGAGGAGAGAATATCCGGGAGTAGAGAATGACCAATAGTGTCAGATGTAGCAGAGAGGTTGAGAAGGATGAGGACAGAGAAAAAGGTCATTAGAGATCACTGGTGCCTTTGGAGAGAGCAGTTTCAGTTTAAGGATGAGGTCAGAAACCAGATTGCAAACAGTTGAGAAGGAGGAGAGAAATGGAAATGAAGTGATGGGGCTGGGGGTAGGTGGGGAGGAAGACAGCTTCTCACCCCCTCCCTTTTAGGAATTTAATCTTGAAAGGAAGGAGAGGTAGAGGATCATAGTTTGAGGGAATGGTCAGGTCTAGTGAGGGAGTTTTTCGGAATGGGAGAGATTTGGTTACATTGTAGGCAGTGGAGAAAGAACAGTAGCTAAATTAGGTAAGGACTGAAGATTGAGAGAGGTGATATTGGGGACAAGCTGCTAGGAAAAAATGAGAGGGAATGGGATCAAGGGTACATGTAAAGGGGCTGATCGTAGTGAGGGGAATGGTTACCTCTTCATCAGAGACTGGAATAAAGGAAGAGAAAATGAGGAATGTTCTCAAGGGAATGAGGTATTGAGAAGAGAAGAGAGAGCTCATGGCAGATGGTCTAAATGCCCACTGTATATTGGGTGTTGGGGAGATAAAAATCAGGAAAAAAAAAAGAAGTCCTCATAGAACATGTAGTCCAGTAAGCAAAACTCAACCATATATGATCAGAGCTGATGACATGTTCATCAATATTTCTGAAGACTGTGAGCTTATCTGCCCATCCTTTATGGACAGCAAACCTTGGTTTGGCTTTGATGTTCTGAGTACAGGAGACGGGGTCTAGATCATAGCCTCCTGATCATCATAGTGTGAGCTCCTGTAAAATGGGTTAATATCATAGGAAAATTAATATCAGAGGGAATTCACTGGATTCACTCATTGCGTGAATAAGTCAAAAATACTTCTGAAGCAATCATCAGAATTCAGTCAAACCTAATGAGGCCTTCGCTGCCTTGGGCAGGTGAGCATGAAATTTAATTTGTGCTCATTTACCCCAAATGGCAGCAGTTCCAAGTTTACTGATGTAGTATCAGTGTCTCTGAGAGGGAAACCCACATTTCATGAGATATTCTCAATTAGGCCTTGAGACTTCTCTAATGGCTGCCTCCTGCAGACTGCCACATGATTGCAGGTCAAAGGGACTGATCTGGGGGCACTCAGCACCTTATAGGAAGGAGTCCAGGGATCTTGTGCTTTATCCACACGCTGCCCCAGCCTGGGCAGTTATGGTAGAGTATCTGTCCCATTGTGATTTTCTATCATGTCCCAAAACAAAGCTAATGAGTTGGGGTGAGTGGGAGCAGGGAAGGGGGATGTGTGAGCAGGAGCAGAGTATCTGTTCTGCAGTAGTCAAAATCACATATAGATTGGCCTTGCCTCTTTTCTTCTTCTGCACTGCAGATAGCTAAAATAAATTAAGAGGGCATGAGAGCTATTTTGACAAATACAGGTCATTAGAAGCATACATTTAGAGTCCATCTAGTCTAACCCTCTCATTTTACAGATCAGGAAACGGAGGCTCAGAGTTAAGTGACTTTCCCAAGGTCATATAACTTGTAAGTTTCAATTGTGGGATTCAAACCCAGGTCTCCATAACTCCAAATCTAGCCTTCTAACAGCTACACCACATGTGTTATTTCTGTGCATGTTTCTTTTGAAATGGCCATCCCATTTTAGGATAGTTCTATTTATCAGGCTCCTGTGGCATGCATTAATAAGGAAACCTAAAGTGTCTCAGGTCAGTGAAGCGTGGCCGTTCTCTCTGTCTCTGGAGTAGTTTCTTGTTTCTTAAGTCCCGGTTAAAATATCTGTGGACTCAGCTGAGAAATTAGAGTGATCACATGCTCCAGCAGGGAGCCAGGACTGCCCTTCTTAAAGGTCCTGTAGGCTAAGCTAGAACCTGATGAGGCCATGATGTGGTTTGGTCAGTGGCTGTCCATCAGTTTCTCTTCATAAAGATTCTGCAGCCTTGTAGAGGGCAATGTGTCACTTTGTAGAGGATAGTAAGAATACTGGAGCCTTTTCAAATCCTGACTGAACTTGGAAGAGGCAAAGCTGCTGGGGCTTCCTGAAGCCGATCTGCTCCCCCAGCTCCAGGGACCCTCAGCAGCCACACATGCCAAGTCATGTGCTGGTTTCACGATTAGGAAAATAATAGAAACTTCAGGAAACTTGCTGTCCATTTTCAGCCTTGGAATTTCTACTTTACCCTCAATCATTTGGTGAGGGGGTGGAGGGAGCATAAGAATCATGATCACATTTCATGGAGGAGGAAACTGAGTCCCAAGCTAATGAATGACAAAACTCTAGTTCTCATGCCATATTCTAACATGGTTGGAAAGCTAACCTTAGCTTGCCACCCCCATCACCCAGCTTGGTGAATATGCAGAAGCAGTGTACTTGCCACTCAGAGAACACAAATGTACATGTATTTTTTTTTTAATCTTGTTTTCATACAGGCAACAGCCTCAGATTCCCATCACCACAGGAACGGGTGTTGTGTATCCTGGTGCTATTACCATGGCAACTACCACACCATCTCCTCAGATGACATCTGACTGCTCTAGCACCTCAGCCAGCCCGGAGCCCAGCCTCCCTGTCATCCAGAGCACTTATGGCATGAAGACGGACAGCGGAAGCCTGGCTGGGAATGAAATGATCAACGGTGAGGATGAGATGGAAATGTATGACGACTATGAAGACGAGCCCAAATCAGACTATAGCAGTGAAAACGAAGGTCCCGAAGCCGTCAGTGCCAACTGAGGAGTGTTTGCAGAATCAAAATGCTCAGACTGGGGTTTTTTTTTTTCTTCTTTATTTTTTTCCTGAACAAAAAAAAAAGTCTTAAAGAGCCCGCATGCATTTGTGGCTCCCCAATTACATCAGCAGAATGGTCTTAATTGTTTCATAATGTGTGAGACAGATGGAGTTTTCCCTGATTTTTCATGAACTTGTGTTTTTTTTGTTTGTTTTTTATTTAGGTGAAGACATATATTAAATATGAGACATCGGGACTTGAAAACTTATCTGAATCCATAGCTGTCTTACCAGTCTTACTTTTTTTTTTCTCTTTTGGATGTTGATAAAGGTTTAAGTTACTGTTTTTAGATGGGGTTAAACATTCTCACTCAGGTATGCTGTGCCGGCCTACAGGTTGTGAATGTGTTTTTATTCTGAATTACGTTAGCAAACAACTGCAGATTTCATCTTGTGAACGCGAGCAGAATGTCTGCAGGCACGCAAGCGCGGCTGCGTGCAGAGCACTTAAAAAAGGCCTCTGAATTCCATTTTTCCATGTGTAGAGTTGAACTTCTAACGTGCCAAACTTTTTCATCACTCTTGAATCTTAAAAAAAAATTTTTTTTGAAAGTCTTAAGGGAGACACTGCAAAGTCTTAGACAATCCTTTGGCATCTTAAAAAAAAATTGATAACCACAGGTTGTATTTTTTTCCTTTTTTTTTTTCTTTTCCAGAAAATGGTAAAGTACTCAGGAATCTGGAGACAGGATATTGTAAGGAGTGAGCTTGGTTGCCACCATGCATGTACCCAATTGCTTTTGCCTCTCACTGTGCCATCAGTGTGTGATGTGACATGACATGACATGATGTAATGTGATGTCCGCACAACAGAGCGATCACCAGTTATGAACAAGGCTGCTTGTCCCCATGTGAGGCTGCCTCTCACAACCCCCATTACCCCTTTGCCTTTAACCCTGGCATTCAGTCTTAAACATATTTTCTCTTAAATAATTTATTCATTCCAGAATGTCAAGGGTCCAATGATTATTTATTTTAAAAAGCATTGTTGGTGGCATTAACTTAACGATCCTTATTTCTACCCTTCTACCCTCAAGCCCCCCAACCCCCCCTTTTTTTGGTCCTCCATTACCTGCTACAGACATGAAAATGTATGTAAGGATTGTATGTCCCCAGAACATCTGGAAGTATTTCTTAAACATAATGATAATTCAAGTTAATTTTTTAAAGCCAAAAATATTTCTCCTTTACAGTAGGTAACTGGCTACTCGAAACCCAGGTATAGGCCCTTACAGCTGAGCAGGCTAGCCTTCTGACTTTCCATTCCATGTATGAATTCTGTGGGAGCTGATCTCAGCAGGGAGTGATGAGGCAGGCTTCAGGGCCCCACTAGCAGCAGGGCCAGACAAAAAAGCTCAGGAGCCAACTCCCATCCATGCTTGCAGGCTCCATGTTGGAGCTATGGGTGAAGAGTGAGCCAGTCCTGGCCAGCAGGGGCTCAGGTTTGTTTATAAAATCCCAAGGACAGGGAGAAGTCACCCAACAGCCTCCATGCTGCAAGCAGAGAGGTAAATAGTGAGTCAGGATGAATTTGGGGAATGAAATGTAAACTTTGGGGGAGCCAAAAGGAGAGGAGGAAAGGAGAGTATTCCCTTGTGAGAAGTTGCTGCTTTTAGAACCAAGATCCAAGAGCTCATGGGGAGGTAGAAGAATGTCTTTGGCTGCCTCCTTCACCTATGCAAATAAGTCACCCTTTCTGTAGCAAGTGGAGTGCACACACCCAGTCCTGTGCTTGTGTTTGTGTGTGTGTGCCCATGGGTGTGCGTAGAATGGGAGATAATGTGCAGAACTTAATTCACCATGCACATGCAGCACCCATCCCTGGAGAGGTCTCCTGCCTGGCTGGAGGGCCCCTGGGCTCCTAGTGATACCAGCTCCCTCGTAGGTTCAGCAGCTCAGTTCTCTGCCCACCCCGCTCCCCTTCAATTAGTGTGGTTCTTTTTGCCTTCCCCTCACTGTCTCCGCTCGGAAAGCCAATGACCAGGTATACTCATCCCCAGTGGGACAAATACAAGCTCATTACTAGGACATAGGAAGAGGGCTGTCAGATTTCTTGAGCCATCTCATCACTTGAAAGCAACCAGAGGATCTCTGTATTTATTTTCTCCAACCCAATAGCAATAAACAGGTCCAGCCGGGAGGAGCCTGAGCTCCAGGCTCCCGTTAGCTGGTGAGCGCTCTCTACAAGCTGATTGACATAGGTACTGATAGACAAGCTGTGTTCTTCCATCAGTTGGGGATCAGAACTTTGTTTGAATAGTTTTTGCTCAAAAGAGGAGGAGGAGGAGGAGGAGGAGGAGGATTACTCACTAAAGATGGACTATTTATTATGTCGTCTAACTGACTTATACAGTTGGTCACCTCTCCTTAGTTCTCTTTCTCTTACCCACCCCCTGCCCTCCCCCATTTCCCCACACCGCGCTTGCTCCTTCCTTCTTGGTTCTGTTGCGTAGGTAGAGTGCTGTATGGCTAGCATTGTGTCGTCTGTAATTAATTTTGCACAAAAGCAAACATTTAGAGTCGTTGGTTAATTTTGTTTTGTTTTTATGACCATGCCAAAATAATATTCTGGGCTGGTGGAGAACAAAGGACTGTTCTTTAGGACTGAAACTTGATTTTGCTCGTAGTACAAACACACACACACACACACACACACACACACACTCACACACACACTCACAGATGTTGTTTTGTAAGTGTTATAAGCACTGGATATAAATGGTATTTTTTATCACTTCTGACTAATGTGAAACTGTTGTACGAAAAATACATGAACAAAAGTCATCTGTTTCGACTCGTGTGGGCTTGCCCCGCAGTTGCCGGATTTGAGTCATTTTATGTCTTGTTATTTCATTTATTTATGCAAAATCCATGCGTGTATGAACACTTTGTTGGAGCCGCAGCCCCCGCCTGCCTTAGCGCTGGGGTTCGGTCACTTCTAGCCACGTTCTTCAAAAATGAAAGGCTATTCAGGAAGGATCTGATTGTAAACGTCTCATTCATTCATTGGGTCAGACGGGAAGGTTGTATCTGGATCTCAATGGTGCGCATAAGCAATTTATTGTATTTATTAGCCAACTTTGGCTCTAAATGTCGGTGGAAATTAAGAAAGGACAATCGTAGCGATAGCTTCATTTTGCTTTTATCGGGGCTCGAAACAAAGTCTTTTGATGAATCTACCATCTCATTTTAGATTTTTTTTAAAGTGTAAATATAACATAGGAAATAGAATTTTATTTTTGGTTCATGAATAATTAGTGAAGTATAAGTTATGTATTTACTTTTTTCTGTTCTGTATCCATGTATATTGGTCCATATTAAAAGCTGACAAGTCACTGTACCTCATGCAAATGCTGAATGATCAGAGTGAGAGAGCCGTGAGAGCTCAGGCTTGGACCTCTAGCTGGGATATCAAGACCCCTCACTTGGGCTCTCACTGAATTTAGAAGACACCGTCCACAGACACAGACTTATGTTTTGTTTAATATAGAAAGTTGATACATTGAAAATACCAAATTTCCAGGATAGCTGGTAGGAAACTCAATTTGCTTTGTGAATCCAAGCAGAATGCATGAACTAGTCCTGTTACTGTTTGATAGCAGAAAGCATGAATAACATTTGGAAAGCAAAAAAAAAAAAAAAAAGAAAAAAAAAGAAAAAAGAAAAAAAGAAAAAAAGATGTCTGAAGATTAGACTCATTAATAAAGCCCCACCCCCTGCTCTGCCCCCACCATACCCAAATACTGAATAGTTTGAATAATATGAGACTCTTTATTTCTGTGTCCATTAGTTCATGGTATTGTCATATTGCAGATGAAAATGATTTACACATTGTAAGAGGACATGTGGGGCTTTTCCCTATCACTTGGAATTGGGGCACCGGCAGGAAATACTCTTTTTAACCATTGTGCCATGTAGTTAATGGTGGGATAATATATACATAATATATGTATAGATACACATATATTCATACACATAGATACATACAGATATGCATATGTATATATGTGTATATATGTGTGTGTGTATGTATATATATACACATACATGTGTACATATTGCTTTTGTCCACAGACTTTGCCCCATCTCCTGAAATTATGTAATTGTGAGGGAGGGGTAGGGTGGGAAGTCTGTGGACAAAAGCCAGCAGGCTATTCCTGTGCTTGAAACAATGTGGTGTTTTTCTGTTTGGGACAATTATAAAACGTTTTTTGTTTTCAAAAATACCCAAATCATGACAAAATCTAAACCCCGTCCACTCCCATGGTTCTCCTTGGGGAAGCCCTAATCCCAGGAGGAGACTTGATCAGAACCCCCAGTGGGTCCTCCCACATCTGGTTCCTGAGCTTATCTAAGGAAAGGCTGAAGATGGCTGCCTTCACAACCTGGGATGCATTAGGCCTGTGGAACACCAGGGTATTTATTTATCAGAGGACCAGTGAGTTACCTTGTAGTGTCAAAGCTGAAATAAAAGACTGCATTCTTTCCCTTTGGAAAGGTTGGGGGTGAGGGGTGATGGGTTACTCCAAACATTCTCACCTAGGGCAAGGAGTGGGTGAGCCATCCAGAAGCTGCCCTGTTCAGAGCATGCTTCTTGATCCCCTGAGGAGAAACTCATTCTGGCCCCAGCACCACAGTGTAGTTCCCCCGCCCCTCCAGTTTGACCTAATTGTTTTGTAAGAGATGATTTTCCCCAGTAGTTGACAAGAAAGGTCACTTTGCCATTTGAGACCATGCAAGAAACTCTGTGCCCAGTGCCATTGAATTGCCCAAGAATTGCAGCTGGTTAAATGTAATCTGATGCTTTCCTGGGTCTTCATTTTTCATATAAAAAGGGACAAATGGTGCCCCCTCTCTGAGGGACCTTCCATTGGTGTTCATTTAAGAATGGACTTGGCACTCACATCCATTCTTCTCAAAGAATAATTGTTTCTGACCTCATCTGCCCTCCTACAAAGCACTTGTTTCATCGCCTTCTTGCGCCACCCCCGCTCCTGACATGCTTTTCTTAATAAATGAATTCTCTCTGTGATTCTTTTTGACCATGTTCCATTTTTCTTATACTGTTTGGACCCCAAGGTGACTGTGATATAGTAACTGATCATCAGAAATATCAATATGCAAACATATTTGTTTTCCCTTCCCCTTCCATCAGGGGCTGAGCCATTTGCTCCTGAATTCCTGCATTCTGGAAGCAGACAACTTTGGTTCAGAGGGCGGGGCAGAGTAAGGGCCTCCAGGATGGGGATGAAGGGTTGGGGGATGGGGGGGAATTGCTCATTGAAAACCATTTTCAACTTGATCAGGATGGCAATACACGAGCTAGAGAGCAGCTTGACAGTAGGGTGTGCTCTTAATTTCCTCTTTCTGAAGAACCCCAACTGAGGTCCTTGGTGCTCCTGGATTATGGGGAATGTGCAAATATTTCACTGTGTGTGTATGTGTGCACACTGTCCCTGTGCATTCTCTTTCCCTCAGGCCATCCTTCTCTCTGTCTCCCTTTGTCGTATGTGTGTTTTTGCTTTTTTAAAGCACAGGTTTTATTGTTACCCTTTTCTCTTCCATACCACCCCACCCCACCCCTCAGCTTGTAGTGTGATAGAATCCTTAGCATTTCTGTCCATTCATTATTGTATTTGCCATGTAAAATTTTTTTTATTACATTAAGACAAGCTTATAAGCTGTTACTACATAACTTATCTCACTGTAACTCTTTATTATTTCCTGACGTAATTTGTTTGTGATGTATATTGTGGGATTGTACTCTATGTTAATTTAATCAGCACAATTCACTGACATGCTGGACTGACATGCTAGCTGCTGTTTCCAATTGTAAAGTTTGTGTAGGGCTATAGGGACAACTACAACTCTGTTGTCAAGGTACTATGCTCTGGTTCCTATAGCAACACTGTGGGTGTGGCCCTGGAGATGCTAGGGTTGCTGTTGAGATACACCCCTCTAGCATATTTTAACTGGCAGATTTTCTTCATAGAAATTCTATGTACAATGCAGGTACCTACCTGGGCCCATGGCTGGTAATGATTTGGGCGTTTAGAGGAAAAAGATTAAAAAAAAAACTAGTGTCTATTGCTGCTTTGAATATGTTTTAAAGTCTGAAAATGTAAATAGTTTATCAAAAAAAGAATCTTGTACAGTCCAGTGTAAAGTTTTTAAATGAACTTACAGGTTGCCATCACATCTTTCTCACCCTCTCCTCTCAACACCGAAAACAAAGTTTGCTAAGGATAAAAAGCTATTGATGACAAAGTAATCTCTCAAGTTAAAACAAGAAAAAAAGAAGTTTTAAAAAGAGAATCATCATTCTTAGCTTCATTGCATAAACAGACTTCTTGGGATTTTGTTGTGCAGTATTGACGTGAGGTAAATTCAATATTCAATAATCTCTCAGTGGTACTTTTAAAAAGTCTTCTCCTCCTTCTCTGCCTCAGTAATTAATGGAAAAGACACAGTTGAAAGGCACACTGTCTTTATATATTCTGGTATATGTTGGCACCCCTGCTACATATTCCTTTTTTCTCCTTTCTTTTCTCCTTTCTTTTTTTTCTTTCTCTTTCTTTCTTTCTTTCTTTCTTTCTTTCTTTCTTTCTTTCTTTCTTTGCACAAGGTGCTTTCCTGATATGTTAAACATGCCACCATCCTCCGGTGATACCGTATAATATGCCATGATGGGGGTATCCCCCCCCCCAGGGGAGTGTCTATAAGAACTGCCTATTTATGCTCATTTACCTCAAGACTGTCCTCTCTACCCTTAATCTAGTCACCATCACTCCATCTTTTGTACTGCTGTTGACACTTACAAAATTAAAGATAAATTTTGTTTTATGACATCTGCGAGTGTCCTTGTCTATGCGACGCACACATTTCTACTTCTTGTCCCAATAAAAAATCAACACACAAAAACTGGAGTCAGCATTGCTGAGCTGGGTATCTAAAGGGTACTGATAGGTCATCAGCCTCATAGTAGCTACCTGGTTATGTTCCTCATCTTAGTGATAAAGAATTCTTTTAGGCTGCTTTGTCTTGAAAGGCATGCCCACCCCATTTTATGGCTCATGTTAGAGGATGTATATTTTCGCAGCAGGAAATGCTTGTGGATCAAACCTAGAGGAATAAGGAGATGATGTATATTTTTGACCCTTAGTGTCATAGATTCTCCACAGAGCTGAAAGAGATCTTACAAGTTCAATCTATACCTGAATAGGAATCCCCTCAGTAACATTACCAGCAACAGGTTATCCAACCCCTGCTGGAAGACCTCCCATGAGAGAGAAACTCACCACCTGCCAAAGCAGCCCATCCTACCTTCTTTTGGATAGCTCTATTAGGAAGTGTCTTTTCCTTCTATAGAACCCAAATTTGCCTCTCAACATCTTCTAGTCTACTATCTAAATGAGTCTCATCTTTCTTCTCCGTGATAACCCTTAAGCTATTTGAAGACAATGGCTATCATTTCCCCCACCCTAAGTGTTGCCTCCAGGCTAAAAATCCTCAGTTCTTTCAAGAGATTTCACTCTAAAGTATAGTTTTGTGGGCCTTTAAATGATTATTTAAGTTGTCAAGTGAAGTTAACAATACACACTCCTTTGGAAAAACAAAATAATTATGCCAAAATATGCAGTTGCAACACCCAGGAATAAAAAGCTGGGGGTCCTGGCCACACACTCAATGTACTGCAATTTAATATGGCTGGCTAATGGCTTAAATGGAATATTCTAAGAAGAATGGCTGGACTATGCTTTGGGTGTGCCTGGCAGGTTCTAAAACACTGGATTCATATAGCACTGGTTTCTAGAACAGTTTCTCAGCAATTCTCCTTTTCAGCTGGAGAGCTGGATCCAGAGGATGGGAGCTTTGCTTCTGTGGGGTCAATTTGCTATGAAATGATGTACCCCCAAATTCTTCAAGCAATTTGCATAAGATTCAGCTATGAAGTTACAAGGGGAGAATAGAGGTAGCGTGGCATAGTGAATCAAACATTGGACCTGGGGACATGAAGATCTGGTTTCTGTTTCTACCTCTGACCCTGACTAGCCATGTAACCATGGGTGAGTCATTTAAACCCTGTGAGCCTCAGAAAACTTGCTAAAATATCAACTTATTTATAGATTGATTGAGGTCTATGTTGGTAGAGGAAATTCTCACAAGAATAAAATCATAAATCCTTGGTGTATGGATGTAAAAGGGGAAAGATAATAATACTCACTGTAAGGTTTACTTTCGCCATAACAAAGCTGGGAGATTGGTAGTACAAATATCATTGTCTCCATTTTACAGGTAAGGAAACCATGGCTTTGAGAGTTTAAGGGGACTGCCCACTGTCACATAGCTCTGATTTGTTAGAGCTGGGTTTCCATTCATGCCGTACTGGTTTGGATCTTTGTCAAATTAAAGATAGGATTTTACCTCTTCAGAAGTCCTTGAAAATACCGAGTTTCTCGTCAGTTACCATGTGCCTTGTAGATTTCCCAACACGTCTGTGTTTGCCTGCCACTTTTAAGATGTTACATAAATTCTCCTGAAGTTTTGGCCATGGTAAGGGGTGGGGAACTATTTGGAGCATTTTGGTGTCTCCTATGCTTCAGGTAACAATTTCAGAGTTTGTCTTCCCTGTAGGTTTGGAGATATGTCTCCAATTTAATGTTCCTACATTCAATAAAAACCTTTCCAGTAAAGGTGGGAATCAATATTTAGGCACCAAGGTGTCTTCCTTTGTCACATGAGAATCAAAGCAGAAAGAAAATTTAAGGGACATCTGATCCAGCTTGTTGTTTGATGGATTAATTACCATTCCTACCTTAACATCCAAATAACCTTGACAAGTGGCCATCCAGTCTCTGATTAAACAACTCCAGTGATGGGGACTCACTGTTTCCTGAGACAGAGAGTCCTCTTGCTATATAGCTCTAATCACTAGGAAGTTTTTCCTCATAATCAGCTGAAATTGGCCTCCTTATAGCTTCCATGCATTTCTCCTAGATTTGTCCTCTGGAACCAAGCCCAACAAATTGAATCCTTCCACAGGGCAGCTCTTAATATTCTTGAAGACATCACTCATGTCCCCCAAATTCTTCTGTACGATGAACATCCTCAGTTCCTTCATTGGTCCTCTGGTGGCACAGGCAGATCAGCTAAAGGGATAGGTGGAAAAGTCTGAGAAGTCCTAGTGAAGTGACTGTAGAGTAGAGGGTAAGGCCCAAATTACACTAATAGTACCAGAGTGTTTAGGGACAGTTTCTGTCAGGACAGATGGTGAGGTCTGGTGGGATAGAAGACCATCAGAGTTGGTGACTCTCATTTCATCCAAGCCCTGAGATCAATAAGGCATCCTGAATGGATTCTAGGATGGCTCTGGGAAAGGGATGAAGAGGGAAGGCAAAGGGAAAGGACACCCTGATGGTCATGACCCTTTGCCCACCCATCCTGAATGGGTTCTGGATTAGCCCTGAAGGAAGGGGAGGAGGCAAGAGGGAAGAAGAAGTTGCATTAATAGAAATGCAATACCTGGAAGTGGGGAGGGGATAATCTTGCATCCTCTGTAATGGGGAATTATTGTCAGTTCTGAGCATGATATTTTAGGGCGTACATTGATGAAGTGGGGCAGATCCAGAGAAGGGTGAACAAAATAATGAGGGGGCTGGAGACCACACCATAGAAGGATCAGGTTAAGGAAGCAGGTACGTTTAGTCTGGTGAAGAGTGAGTGGAGGAAAGACTAGTTATCTTCAAATACTTGAAGGGGTTTTCTGTGAAAGAGACTTGACTTGGTCTGCTTGACCTTAGAACTAGGACCAGTAGATGGAAGCTGTGGTGGCAGATTCAAACTCAATGTGAGGGGAAATCTTCCTGTTTTCTAAAGTAGAATGAGGCTCCTCAAGAAGCCTTCAAAGAAGCCGGGCAGCCACGGACTTGAGCCTTTTCAGATAAACTGCCCAAAGGGAGAAACATCACAGCTCTCAATAGGGGCTGCATGGTTGGATCACTTTCCAGGCTGTGAGATAGAAAGTGACTGCCAAATAGACTGTAATATGTGGGGCTCCCTGTTTTCACAGCTCTGTGGGCTGAGGGCTATCTAAAATCCAATTGATTTAATCAAGAAAATCTGGACAGTGAGGCTCTGAATGGGCAAATTATCCAATCAAAACTTGGATATGAAATTAATGAGATGAAGTTGAATAAAATATGAGAAGGCAATTCCCATTTAATCCTTGATTCCAGTGGAGTTGAAAGGCTTGAGGAAGGAACGCAGGAATGGGAAAGTGGGACCCAGTGAGAAAGAGTCCACAAGTTGGGAGAGCAGGGTTCTAGTAGCCTCTGAGCAATCAATCTCCTCTGTGCCTCAGTTTCCCAAATATGGTGCTCTACGTACAGGAAGAGATTAATTAGAGTTTACTAAATTAAATTTGTGATCAGTGATCTCTAAAGCCTTTTCTTATTCTATGTCTTAGTCTATGACTCCAAGTGCCATTAGAATGCGTTAGAGGCAGTGTGGTATAATAGAGAGAGTCAGCCTTAGATTCAGGAAATCAAATTCTTCATGCCCCAAAGCAATTTACTTAAGCTCATAGGTGTCTCCAGCAATCCTCTAATTATAAGCTGAAGAGCAGGTTTCAGACTGGTGTTGGTAAAGGAAATTTCCACACAGGGAGCTGCACATAGCAATGAAAACATAGTTCCAATCCAAATTCTTTTAAAAAAGGTAACAGGGATGGGGGGTGTTGAAAAATGGAAGATTCTTCTCAGGGGATCAAAAGAACCTTTCCTCTGAGAATCTTGAGTCCATTTTAGGTTTATCATCTGCTTAGTCATAGTAAGGAGAATTCCAAGGAGTGACAACCCATTGGGGTCCCCTGATGAAGAATTCTACAGAAGAATGGCTGACTCAGCTCAGAGGACTTTCATTCAATTTACAAACAGAAGAGGTGATTCAAGGAGGGGCAAAATGAGGGTGCTTAGATATACAGATAAGTCTGTAGAATCACCTTGTGGTCCCCAATGATGAAGAAATCTAATTCATTATGTGTAGCCCTAGCTAGGTAAAATGGATAGAGCTCTGATCCTGGAGTCAGGAAGACCTGATTTCAAATCCAGCCTGAGATAATCATTAGCTATATGACCCTTGGCAAATCATTTAACCTGTCTGCCTCAGTTATCTCAACTGTAAAATGGGAAAATAATAGCTGAACCTCACAGGGCTATTGTGAAAATGAAATGAGACACTATATGTAATATACTGTATGTATAAGCATTTATATAATATATATGCATTTATAATATGTCACATAATGTAAATTATATTATATAAGTATTTATATAATGCTTTGAGCATTATATAAATGTGATCTATTATTTCTAGTAGTAGTAGTAGCAGCAGGAGTAGTAGTAGTAGTAGTAGCAGTGGTAGTAGTAGTAGTAGTAGTAGCAGTGTTGTTGGTGGCCTCCGCTGCCTTCTTGTTTTCATAGATTGTCTGTACTTCCTCTGATTTATGAGATCATAGCTTACAGACCACAAAATAATTCAGCTGGGTTGGGCAGACAACTACCAGCAGTCTTGTCTTTCACACATTAGATGCAAACTCTTCAGACAATTCTTATGATGGTTGCAATATGAACCTGGGATTCCAAGCCCCCTCCGCCGTTGGCAGCTTGATTCTGACCCTCTGTTCCATCTTCAGAGATCCATAGGTAGAAAGTCACTTCTCTACCTTTTGGGTCATCTTGGACTTCTCTACCAAGTGTGCGTTCTCACAGAAAGGCAGGACAGTTGAGTGGGGAAAGCAGTAAAGAAGACAGGAGCAGCTGTGGCCAATAGCCCTAATGAGGGCA